AGGGTGGGTTTAAAGAGTGGCTTCTAAAAGAGATTGATGTAATATTCAAGCCAAAAAAAGCACGTTCCATGGGGTTTTCGTAACGCAAGGAATGAGGGAACTTTAAATGTTATTTCAGAATATACGCGATAACTGATAAACCTTTTCAAAGATGGCACAGCTCAGTATTAAGCATGCTTACCGAAATTGATCACCACGGTCATGAAAGTACATAAATAACATAATGTGTGGTCAAATAAATGGGATTGATAAAATATCGAAGATAATACACGTGTGCGTTTCAAGAGGTTTTTCTAAAACAAGGAATGATGCTTTTTTAATGTCATTTCAGATAAAACACAACACGTGGTAACAGTTTTCAAAGCGAATTCTGACCCACTACTGTCATAACTGTCGACAAAAGCATATCGTCCTTGCCATAGTCAAACCATACAAATGCCGACAGGTAAATTTTACAGGAGAGACAAAAAACAACAACACATTAACCATTCATACCCCTTTCTTGCTCAGGGGAAATATTATTCTATATTGAACTAGGGAATTCTAGCCGCATGATAGGATACGAACTCTCATCTTCCATTAATTGTTGGCTAAGTACGTAGGTAACTTGACCACAACGTCATAGTCACTCAGACAGGTTGGTCAAAGCAGGCAGGAATGTATTATGTCTCAGATAAGGACTAGTCAGCGAGGGAAGCTACAGTTATGTAACAATTATTAACCCATTCACCTCTTGACTAGCGACTGCCTTGGGTTCTTTGTAAAGGTTACGGACAGGTCTGCTTGGGAAGGTGTTAAAAGTCTTATTTCTATGAGTTTGTAGAAAGCTCAGAGTAAAGGTCTAGCTGAGGTCTCCATTCGGAACTTACTTGACCTGCCACGCACTTACAGGGCCTCCACTTTCTGTGGGGCCAACATGCAGGTGAACACTATGACGCCATGTGCTAAAGACGATTATCTTATCCAATTTCAAGAAGGGAGACTTCAAATAGAAATTTACGTAGATTTCCTAACTCAGTGGGTATTAACCTAGGTTGCTGTGCTAAGAAAACTAGTTCGTGTCCCCACTCATAGCGTTTGTAAACTTGAGTTACATTTAAACTATGTCGTTTGAGATCTAGAGGTCAGGGTAATAGGCTCGCCACCAAAAGGTCTTGGGTTTGAAACTCGTTTCGGTTCCAACGTTGTGTCCCTGGGGAAGGCACTTTACACAGACGGTCCTCACTACACCTGGGTGAGAATGGGTACCCGAAAAAAGACAGAGAAAAGTCTTTACACTTTGTCAGATCTTGATCCACCCAATCGGCTGCCTGAACTGTACTCTTCCCGAGAAGCTCTTACTCTTAATGTGTCTGAGTGTTTTACAGTCTGCTGGGGTAATAACAATAATAAATTGTAAAACGCATTGACCTTGCTGTTGAACGGGGATATGTGCTATTATTATTATTATAATTATAATAATAATAATTGTTGTTGTTGTTGCTGTTGTTGTTGCTGTTGTTGCTGTTGTTGCTGTATTTATTATCGGCTCTTAATACCCCCAGGGTTCTTCACCGTCTTGGGCCGCTCCAAATGGTAATGGAGAGGTTCAGTCTCTTAGACACCTGTTCTTGTGTTAAGAATGACTCTAAATTGTGTGGGTTGTTGGCGGTTGCTCTGGTGTGGTTTCCTCCTGTTTTCATTTAAAACATCTGTCGTCCTAATCTCTCATTTTTTATGTGTTTCTTACTCTCTTGTGACATTTCTAATCTTCAGCACCTATATGACCTTATTTCATTGTGAGTGCCGTGAAATTCGTACTAAAACAAACAATATTGTGCCACTGTTGTCCCTGACTCCCTCCCACCTACCCCTCCCCCCCCCCTCCACTTTTCAGTCTCTCAGCTAATTTCCAACTCTTCCCTTTTTCCTCCCAAAAGATCCATTTCTCCCGCGGTATTAAGAACCCCCTCCACTTCAACTCCATTTTCCGAGAAAAAAGGAGAGAAAAAACCCACAAACGAATCATCGAAGATGATAAAGTAATTTAATTAGTTCTTTTCTTATTGGAATTTTTTAAATTCTAAGCCAATGCCATTAATTTAGGTAAAGGTACCTGCCATCATAGTGACGTGGGTTCAAACACTTACATGGAGCACATTGAACATAGGTAGTTTTTACAAATCACATTGTAATTACTGCCTGCACAGTTAGTATACTCCGAGGGATGCAAAACCCAACTCAAATAAACGATTAAATTAGTTGTACAAAAATAATTGCAATCCAAGGCTTTTGAAGTGAGAACGAAGAACGAGTCGCTACTTTAATGAAGAAAGTTTATTACTCTCTGAGTTGTCTTTATCTCCGGTCCAGAAGTTTGTTAAAGTAACAGGCTGTTCAAAGTAAAAAACGACATTAGTGGAACAAACAAATGCAGTTGTGTGAGAGAGCCCTTAAAAAGCTGTTTTCAAAATAGTCCATAGAAAGTTAT